CTTCCCCTCCTCCGATCATAACCAGTACCGACCCAGCGACCTCGTGGCCGGCGGGTTTGCCCTCCCGGGGGTAAATTTGCAAAGCGCTGCTCCCCCCCCCCTTCACCCCATCACCCTTGGCGCCCCGCGCGCATGGCCCCGGGATGGGCGCGCGCCGGGCAGGCGAAGCGGGCGAAGCGGGCCTCGCAGGATGTTGGGTCAACAAATTATATCCGGCAAAGAAGCGGGTCGAAGGGAGGGGGGGAGAGGGGGGGGATAGCGCGGCAACAGCAAGTGTCGGCCGACCAGGGGAAAAGGTTTGGAGGGGATTGAGGGAGAAGCGAGAGGAGAGGGGGGAGGAAGAGTTGCCCCGCGTTTTTATATGCCTCGATTTGGGAGCAGACCCCACCAACGTACCCTCTCCAACACACACATAATCATCACTTTGTTATTTTGCAAAATCTTTTCTCTTCTTTTTCCGCCCCGCCGTGTTTACCAGCGCGCTTGCATACACGACTCCGGGCCGGGGTCCGGGGGCGGAGAGCAGGTGTTCCGTGCGGTCTGACACGCCACGGTGAAATAAAGCGAGTTCCGTGTTTGACATTGCGCGCGTGACCCCACCCCGCACCACCTGTTGGTGGGGTGGGACCAGGCTGCTGCCACCGCAGCACTGGCGCTACCCTGTGTCCAGGAAAGAAAGGGTGCAGCCCGAGGAGCCGTTTTCTCTTTTCCTCCAAGTTTTGGATCTTCTTTTTTTTTATTTTAAAAAAAGTGCAGAATCGGTTCTGGTTTTCTTTTTCTTTTTACTTCCACGCTCGCTCGCCCCTAAACTGCTTCATTGGTTTGCTGAGCTCACACGTGCCCCGTATGCCGTGCGCTCCGGCGGTGCGACACCCCGCCCCGCCACACCCCGCCGGGCACCACCGGGTCGGTCCCTCCACCCTGCTCATGCAACATGCATGACCTGGTCGGCGTAATGAGGAGACAGAAAGCGCATAGCGATACCAAATCCCTGCCGGCGGCGCCCGGCCCGGCCCCTCGGCGGGGGCGGCGGCCCAAAGGAGCGCTCGTTACACGGAGGGCGCCCGGTGGGCAGGCAGGCCCGCTGTGCAGCGCTGCCCGGCGGGCCGGCCTGCCCCGCGGGCGCTATCGGAACAACAGGATGCACGTCAGAGCAGGGTGCTGCGGAAACGAAAAATCAGGGCACGCACAACCATGGATGCGGGGTGAGGGCAAAGTTTGCGAATTTTGTTCCCCCCGCAGCGCACCATCCTCCTTGATTTTTTTCCTGCTTCCTCTCCTTTTCTCTAGCCGACTATACGCGCATCCCGGGGGCTGGCGGGGGCAGGAGGAGGCGCCAGTCGCGCGGCCCGACTCGCCTCTGGGGCGTAACTGTTGCTCCCCGTCTCGATATATCGGTATTTCCGGGGCGTACATATTGGATGCTGCTCATCCGTTTGTCCCACGGCGCCGTCCCGCCGCCCGGGCGTAAGGAGCATTACATTCCTGCTCTCCCCTGTCGTGCCCGCTGGCTCCCCCTCCCCGCCCCTTCATGCTGCTGTGCTGCGCAAGGCGCGATTCAAATATCTTCTACTCTCGTTGTTGTTCTTGTTGTTGTCTTGTGTTTGGCTTTGTGGAGGGAAAACACCAGGGTAAAGAAGCTACTGCTGTCACATATATATTTTTTGGCAACATTTTAACAACGCAATTTTTTTTTTTTTGTTTTTCAGGGTGCCTCGTCGAGCTTAGTGGTAAAGTACGCCGACACCGAAAAGGAGCGACAGCTACGTCGTATGCAGCAGATGGCCGGCAACATGAACGTCCTAAGTCCGTGGGTGCTGAACCAGTTCGCAACATTTAGCAATTACGCGCAGGTAAGCCTTTAATGGATTGGAAGCCTGTATCATATGTAAATTTGAAAGAATCAGAGTAAAGTTTCGAGAGCATAATTTTGCCAGAAATAACATAAAAACTTTTTAAGGTGCGTTGAAAGCTTTCAATTTTGTTGGTGTGTGACTGTTGCACACTTGTAGGTGTGCATCTGTCGCACTTTCCCAGATGTGTGACTTCCCGTTCGTACAGTTACGGAAGTAAATGTGCAAATTTTCCTTTGAAATGCTCACACTCCATGTGTGTAAGTGGCGTTTCTGCACCTAAAAGTGTGCAAGTCACACACTTTCCGGTGTATACTCACCTCCTTGTCGTATTGCAGCAGCAGGCGCTGGTGGCTGCCACCACGTCGCCCGCCAGCTACATGGCGCCCATCGCGGCGCTGGCCCCGCTGCCGCACGCGCTGGGCCCCGCCGTGCCCACCTCGCAGGGGCAGGCCGTCAACGGCACGCTGCCCAGCCTGCCGTCGCCCACCATGCCCACCTTCACCGTGGCGGCCCAGACCCCCAACGGCCAGCCGACGGCGTCCGACTCGCCCGTGTACACCACGGGCATCCCGCCGCCAGCTTACCCCAACCGTGAGTATTTTATATTTTATTTCTGCGCTGTGCTGGGTGGTAGTAAAGTCACCCACATAAAATTGAAATGTACGGCATACTTCTTGGAAAACATTGGAAAGATGAGAATAACTTTTCTGTAGATGCGCTTGCTCTGTCCATTCCAGCGCAAGGGCTGTCGGCTGGCGAGGGAACGCTGCACCCGGCCGCCTACTCGGCTCTCCAGCCATTTCCACCAGTAGGTGAGTACGAATCTGCGGAAGCGTCGATTTCTTATTGGCTTAGTCGTTGTTTGTGTCTACTTATGAAACTTTTGGCTGTAGATTCACCTTTAAATTAATTTTGGTGTGTTTTAGCGTACCCTGGTCCTGTTTATCCACCATTCACTCCAGCACCACCACCCGCTTGCCCTCCCCCTCCGCATCAGTCCACTGTGATTCATTCTGGTGAAGGTGCGAATTTACTTTGTTTATTTGTACTTTGAATCACATGATGATGTGTTCTTATCGGCCCTATTGACTAATTTTACATTTATTGTTTCAGGAGGCAACAAATTTGGCCCTGACGGATGTAATCTCTTTATCTACCATTTGCCTCAGGAATTTGGCGATGGCGAGTTATGCCAGATGTTTCTTTCGTTCGGTCTCATATTGAGTGCCAAAGTATACATCGACAGAGTCACTAATCAAAGCAAATGCTTTGGATTTGTATCTTTCGACAACCCATCAAGTGCTCAAGCTGCTATAGCAGCAATGAATGGTTTCCAAATAGGAATGAAAAGGCTCAAAGTGCAGCTCAAAAAGCCCAAAGATATGGGCCGGCCTTATTAAAGTGCGTCTGTGTCAGCGCAACATATCGCATACGAGCGACCATAAAGAACGTGTTGTTATTTTCTCTTGTAAATTCTTTTTACCGCTTCTCTTCCATTGCCTCACTAACTTAATTTGGAAGGGGCTAAAAATTAACGTACAGTCACCGTGCTTAAGTCAATTTTTACGAACGTAAGTACACCTTACGTTATTTAGGGGACTCGGTTTTTGTTTTAGTAATGAAAGAGCAGAGAAATAATTATTGAATATTGTCTACTTTGACGTATTGATGCACATTTATGCACATGTATTGTGTGTTCACGTTCTGGTTTTCCGAAAGTATTGTACCTGATCAATGGAAGGTAAAAGCTATCTATGAATTTGGGTCATTACACCACAGAAACAAGTATTCGTAAAGTTCGTTTGAAATGGATGTAAAATTAAACAAAAAGGGTGTAGAAATTAAGTAAAGTACCAACGGTTGACTTAAAAATTATATTTATTTATTTGTAACTCATTTACTGTAGTTTTAAGAATAGAAGTCTTTACGTATGCATTTTGCATTCAGTTTCTAACACGAAACTGCCAGAGAGTTTCCTCTCTACTATTACCATTACTATTACTATTATGGTTATTATTATTGCAGTGATTTTATAGTGATATTCTATCTTTGGGGCTAACGCTATCGTTTAGCATGGTTAGCGCACGTTGTACTTATTAAAATTTTAGGAGCTCAAACGCTCATTGTTTGGTTATTCTCTTTTTAATTCTAGTCATTAGTGACATTTTTAGGTGAAAAGATGGATCGTTGAATTTTGGTGTGTAATTTATCAATGGAGATTCTTTGCGCGTTGCAATTATCGTTCTTGTTATAATTTTTGAATCTTTCAATGCCTTTGATGGGGCAATAATGTTTAGTCCCGAACAGTATTTGACACATGTTAGTCCAGGTCTGATGGTATGACTGACACGTACGCTAACACAAATTAATAGCCTACAATATCACATTAATCCGTAGGCCTACCTATAGGGAATGCTTGGGAGTAGTCGAGAAGACGGCTCTTTTACTCTTTCTTTACGCATAAGAGATCTTCGGATTAAAATATGTCTCTTTCCTAAGACAATTATAAGGAACCAATTTTCCAAACGACTCTGTAACCAACATACGACCAAATTGCACATTCCTTTGCTCTTTGCTTTCTTTTACTTGGTCACATTCCCACTCGATGTCCCAGAAACGTAGTTGGTTTGTGACAATTGTGATGTGGCGTACTGTTCTCTTTGCCTTTGTCTTAATTCACTTTAATCAACTTGTGAAGGGAAATGACTGCACAAATAATGCCGAAGCTTCAAGAAATCGCTCGTTTTAATCACAAATCACTAGAGCATGTCATATTTGGGTCAGTCATAAGTGCCAACAAGTTGTGATAAATAAGTCTAAGCTGTCACCTTACTCTGTGGAACATATATCATTTCGAATTATGAGATCAGAAAAAGAAAATCACTAATAGTTATCGGTGTTTCCTTTTTTCGGAAAGGGTTCCTTGATATATATTTTGTGGAAAAACTAGCTCTGATCTGGGCCGTTATCTCGGACTACATTAGGAAATATGAAATTGGAACATTAATTTTTCTCGTGTTACTCTTACTCTTTTGTGTGCGCTCTTATTTAGAGAGTTTGAGCACAATTGCAGTCCTTTATACATTTATCTAGAGTTAAAAGCACAGTATACTAATAGCTGATGGGCCCACTGCTTCGAATTGTGGCACCTGTCACTTATGAGGTCAATTGTTCGCAGCATTAAAGAATAAAGACGCTAAAATGTCCTTTATTGCTTTAACACAGGGTATTTCATATTCATATTTTTGTCCCAGATGTACTGCTCTTCAAGGTGTCACGTGTCGAAAGTTTTGCGATTATTTCTAAGCACTCCGGGCAGAACTCCTAACCACGACAATAATTTAAGTCCATACCGGCACCTGTACTCACACGCTGAGCAACTGGTAAATCTGTGAGCGTCTATTGCACTAATTTCTCTTAACCTTTTATTTAATGCGGCACATCTCGTAACGACCTGCAGACCTGATTCAGGCTCTTGAAGTGACAACTTCCAACGTCACAAGTTTACTAAATTGCGTACACTACGTCGGGGCCGTAATCGTATCAAATGTACGTTATAAATCACGGGTGACTTTGTAAAATACTAAATTTATTGTTAAGGTGGACCCCGACATCAAAATTTTGCCTGTATGGTACCGGTCTTAGGTCAGTTTCAGTGAAATGCATTTTTTGAGCTTGCACTCTAGACCATCTTAAGACCGCTGAAAAATGGGTCAAGGACATAAAATGAATTGATATTCAGGTGTAGAAGCATAAACTAACTTAATCCAGTAGTTTTCTCGTATAGGAACACTCTTCACGACCAGTAATATATCTGGATAGTAATTACCTTACAAGGCGCCCTGTGTATCCTATTTTGTTGTAAGGTACTGTGCTGTAATTAAATTTATTTCAAGTAGAGTATACGTTTTGATAAAATGTACTATTCTTGTATTGAAAAAGAAAATTGTTACGTTGTGAAGTGCGCTCTCTAGTTATAATATTATTTCGTTGTCTGTTGAAACTTTCTACATCTTTAGAAGTAATTGCTGGCTATGAGCAGTGAGAGAGCATAGGTGAACGTTATATGGGTTTGTTTCCATGCAAAACGATTGCATATTTAGTAGGCGTTGTTTAAGCCTTGTTTTGTTTTCTATATTCTGAAGATGCTGTAGTTTAGCATACCATTTGCTCGTTCATTCGAGTGTAGCTAATTATTTCACATTTGACTCTAATTCAATTTCAAAGTTTTAAGATATCTGAAATATGCGAGCTTTGACTTTTTCATACACGTCTTGTTAAGAGGCAATTTCAAACAAAAATAATCTTCATATCAATATGATTAAAATATTTGAAAATTGAGAGGACCTTTTGTTTTTCTACTGATGTAACTTTTGGGGCCCGTTTGCCATCTTTTCCAATATTTAAAAAAAGTGTATGGTCGCGGTCAGCAGGTTACTGTGGTTATCTGTGCTTCTACGATCGCCGACCGTCGCCGACTAGCTCTGCAAAATCTTGTTACACAGCACTGTTATTCAAACAATGTCACGTCACATTGAAACGACTGTGATTCCTGTCACATTGTTTGAAATATTGTGTCACATTTGTTATAGTGTGACATGTAATGACCCCATGATGGCAAAGAGTTAGAGTATGGCAAGAGTACGTCACGTTGTAACGAATCTGACACGCTTCTATAATCAATGTGACACAGTTCACGCTTGATTAAACGTGACGTCAAAGTGTTTGAATAACAGTGAGTGCGTGTCGCGGTGAAATAGTGACTAAAATTCCTCCGCTCCGTCTATTAAAATATCGTCCCTGAAGTAGAAACAAATGTTGAAGGAACGGCTTCGTTCATCTTCCAACGACAAATTTTTATGCAATGATGTCAAGTTAACCCTTTAAACTTTCAATAGCGGTCCACTATTGTTGCATTTCTGGACTGCGCAGTTATTTCCAGATATGTGACGCATATTATTATACGTATAATTTTATAATAACGTTGTAGAACTCTTTTGTAAAAGAAACTTACGCATTTTGTGACTGTGGATAAAACTTATTGAGACTCACGTATGATCCACATACACACATTAGTTAGTCACTTAAAAATTAGTTAGACTGTTTTTAATTTTAAATACTCTTTTTCGCATATTGAAAAAATAGTAATCTTTTACCCTTATTGCCTGTCGCCCGTATGCTGTGCAGATTGATGGCCAGGTTATTATTGGCACTTCACGGACTTCTCTTCCTGACAATTGTGCCCTACAAAGTGAATTTGTGCTCAAAATCTTTGTTCAACTTTAGCATGAGCCAAAATTTTAAGCAAAAGAAGTCAGTGTTTCCTTTTATTGGAGTTGTCACAGTAATCTGTCGTGAAATGCGTTCTTAAACCAATGTTTGGGCAACCTGACTCCTGACTACATGTCGCAATGTATGCGCTCCACTGACAGCCATGCGTTTTTGATCATTTGCTTTTATTCCAAAATCGAAATTGTTGCGTGCAATTTCGAACCTACATATTTTCATCATTTCTACTTTCTCGATCAGTCTTTCTACTGTTTTAAATTTGAATTAACCAGATGCTTTAAAAGTTCCATTGTATTTGTGTATCGTGTGAAATAGAGACCGCATGCAATTCACAAAAGCTCACCACGGAAAGCTGTCTACGGCAAGTGTTACCTCAGAAAAGATTGTTTTTGTCGAATCAAAACAGGTGGGCCTGCGAGGGTCTCGCCTATCGCGTAGAGCACACTGAATATTATGTACTTTGTAATTT